TTGGTGGGTGTATCTTTACTCCTAAAAAAATTGCGTGGGTGTAGAGAAGGGAATACTTGTACACCTTAAATTGGGGTGTACCTGCACAACGAAACGACAGTGAGGGTGTAAGAAAGGAGTAGTGACACACCCCTATATTGGGTGTATCTGTGCAACCACGAATGCTGAAGGTGTATAAAAGGTGGCACATATGCCCCCTTAGCAAGGGCGTATGTATGCACCTCGTCTTGGAGGATGTACTTGTACACCTTTATGGGTGTAGTATATGTGGCAGCACGTACACCCCTTGTGGCGCTACCACTACACCCTTTTTTTAGAGTGTGCTAGGGGCACTAGTTGCTGCGATAGATGCCAACTCGCGCTAAGGAACTCTGATCATGCGAGACGACCTTCGAGCAGCGCAGCAGAACGGTAGACTTTGACACAGGGTCTTTGAGTAGTTGTCTTCACGTGACCGACGTGGCAACAGAAACGCTGTCATGGGTTTCGGCCGAATATGGCTTGCTTCTACGGTATATACTTCAGATAGACGATGAAGAGGGTGGCTCCACGGATACTCTATTTCCAGCCGTCATAGCTGGCCGACTGCGCTCGTGTTTCATTGGATACTGCAATGACTTTGATGTTGAGGGTCAGAGTAGTGGCTGTAAGATTTCTGAAAAGTTAAGCCGTACTGCTACTTGGCCAGGCATTCGTCAGGACGTGGTGAGGTGCACTCGCTCATGCCCGGTTTGCCGGAAAGCCAAACCACGTGGAGGTCAACCACCTGGTCTCATGCAGCCAGTCGTGACTCGATCCTCATGGGAATTCGTTGCTGTCGACATCTTGGGCCCTTTCGCACGCAGTCCTCGTGTCAATCAGTGCTTGCTGGTTGTCACGGATTACTTTAGCAAGTGAGTGGAGCGATTTTCATTGCGATTGCTGACGTCGAAGAAAATCTGGTCTTGTCTAAAGGAGGCGTTCACTCGCTTCGGATTTCCGGCGAAATTGACTAGCGACAACGCTACCTATTTTGCCTGCAAAGTGTTCCGAGACTCATGCGCAGCATTAGGGATACAACACAGTCTGACGTCTCTCTGTCACCCACATGGAAATATCAGAAGAAGCAAATAAATGCTGCTATGAGGAATATATATCACAGAGAAAATATCACAGCGCGGGTGAACCGAAACTTAAAATTGATGTTAATAGCTCACACGGAACGTCACCATGACTAGAACACAAAGCTCCCGGAGCTTGCGTTCGTAACGCGCACAAATGTTGACCGGTCTACTGGATATACGCCCGCTTGACTTAATTTCGGAAAATAGCTGACTTCCCCGCTGGAAAACACTTGTACGGTCAACAAACCTGACGCTGCTCGCTTATATGGTCAGTTGGCAGGAAGCCTAGGGCGCAGACTCACGGACATTATTTCTGTTGCCTGGGAGAGCTTGTATACGTCGCACGGCTGCATCAGGCTGAGCAGTATAATCTCGGCCGCCGGGACGTGTAACTTGAAGTTGGACGTCTTGTACTCCGACAACCTCACTCACTTAATGACGCCTCCAGACTTTTCGCAGTTTCCGTGGCGAACAGGAGGGACGGTCCGTATCGAATACGAGTGTAGGCCTCTCGCCTTACGTACACGCTCGTCCACTGTTAGTCTGAAGAACTCGCTGTATTTGTTCATGTCACCAACCTCGAACAATATTATGAATTGGATCACGAACGTCTCTCGCAGGTGGAGACTGATGTAGGTCCGGGTGATACTTAAAACAACGTTAATTTCGTGAGGACCCTTTCTGATGTTGGTGAGGGAAGACGAAAACGTAAAAAAAGACGCGCACTGCAGTAGGTTTTGGCGAGAACTAATACTTTCCCGCACCCTACTAAATTTGTGCGTGGTTCTGTGCGGGGGACACCCTGATAGTGCTCTCGCAAATTTAACTTGTCTATTGCCGCGCCCAACGTTACCGACACCTTCTCGTAGAAGAAGCTTTTCCAGAAGACAACTGCTAATTTATTTTTCGTTCTTCCCGCGGCTTTTCAGCGAATCCCGCTACCGCACCAACCGTCGCCGGAGGTTCTCCTGCCCTCCTCGATGAGCCACCTAATTTCGGGGACTACGGTAACGCAGTGGACAACCGAATACCCTCTACCGGCCCGAGCTACGCCTTTGAACGCAACGACTCACGACGGGCACTGAGGCAGCCAGTTTAGCAGCCTCGGTTGCGACTACAACGACGGCTACGGAGCGCCCTCAACGGACCCCATGCAGGACCGCTACGGAAGTCTGCCGAAGCGTGTCTATTTCTGCTTCGGCCCCGGGGTTCCGCCTCGTCTACGTTGGCGGTCGGTCTGCACCAGGTGTCCGTGCTTATGGTGTGCGGCCTCAATTCACTCTGGGAAGCTGAACGTTTAAAAGCTCTGCGATTTGCTCTGTCTGTACGGCAGCGTCGTCATGATCAATTTCTTGGAGAACAAGAACGGCTTCGCAATGGTACAGATGGAGGACCACCTGGCTAAAGAGAGAGCAGTGGGTCACCAAAACAACGCACAGGTCTCCGACTTCAAGATTTAGCTTGTGTACTAAAACCAGCCTAATATAGTAATATTTCGTCCGTCTATTCATTGTCTAAAAACCAACACTTGAGTGGCACCCCTCCACCATTCTGCAGTAATTTCGCACCACCTATCATTACGCTTGACGACGCTTTAGTCGCCATTATAAGGCTTCCTCCCAAAAGCCTTGTGGGCACGACGACGGTATCCCCGCGTTCATTCTAAAACGCTGTGCAGATATTTTTTCTCGTTTGCTCGTTCACACATTTACATTATCTTTTAAATATTCTGTGTTTTCGAGCGCTTGGAAGAGAGGCGTTTTGATTCCGTTACTGAAATAAGAAAACCCTACCTCTGTGGCTAACTACAGACCAATCTCTTTATTACCGGTGTTTTCTAAAGGTTTTGAAAATGTTTTTCACATGCATCTGTCTAGCATTTTCAAAGGAGTTATTCATTGTTGAGAATCAACCTGGCTTTATGAGCGGTCTTTCCGTTGCAAAGAACCTTGTCACTTGCCTGGGGGACGTGGCACCAAGCATTTCCAGTCGAGAACAGACTAATACAGTCTATTTCAATTACGGCAAGGCCTTTGATCATGTAAGTCACCAAATCTTAATTCGTATATTACTTTTTCATGGTTTGAGTGTCTGTTACTGTTCGTGGTTTTCTGGCTATCTTCGAGATCGACTAAACTGCGTTTCCCCTGGGGGAGCCAAGTTGCATTTCTTTTCGGTTCTCTCCGGAGTGCCGCAGGGTTAAAATTTATGTCCTTTGCTTTTAACGAGTTCGTTAATGACATTTATGAAGTGATACAGCACTCCACCCTCTCCCAGTTCGCTGTCGATATGAAGATATATTGCAAAATTCAATGTCTTCATGAGTGCGCCTTGCTGCAAATCGACATCGATGCTATATGTACATGGAGTGTAGATAACCTGATTGACTTAAATCTTAGTAAAACGCAGGTCTATTCGTTCACACACAAAACCTTTCCTGTTCTTTTTTATTATTTTCGAGACAACGCTCTCATTAAACGTGTGTCGGTTGCGCAGGATTTTGGCGTTATGCTAGATGAAAAGGTGAACTTCAAAAGTCATGTTGGAATGATTCTGTCAGCCTCTTTCAAAGTGTTGGGCATTGTTACTCGCCTTAGTTCTGTGTTTAACGATCCTTCATGTTTTTTTTTTATTGTACAGGAGCCTTATTTTGCACAAATTAGACTGCTTCAGTTGTCTGGAACAGCCTTAGTGTCACTGCTGCGGCGACGTTAGAGCGTGTCCAAAACGATTTGCACCTACGTTTCGCGGATGACAAGACCTGTCCGAGCCCTACTCATATGTGAATGTGATCAACCGCTTAGGATTGGTGGAGTTAAAACCAAGACGCGGAAGATATGATCTGATATTTTGTTCAAGTGTTTCCATGGGTGTTATGACTGTCCTTTTATTGTGTCTTGCATCAATCTAAATGTGCATGTTAGACACTTTCGCAACAACCGCACGTGTGCTGTCAATCCCATCTAGTGTTTCTCTCCTCTAGTTCGCATACAGAACTATTTTAATCAGCTTGATTCGCGCCTTGACTTTTTTATTGATGACATCACATCATTCAAGAAAAGCGTTGACAATCTAATATAGTGCGTTGTCGTCGGGTCGTTTTCTGGATTTAATTGTTTTGTCACTTTCACTTTTGTAATCTGACTTGGTAGGCATTGAAAATAAATAAAGAGATAAATAAATGGAGAGAACGCTAGCGTCAGCGTTCGCGCAGTACTGCTGGACCCACTTCTGTCTCAGTGAGTTTTCGGTCTGCAACCGATGTCACTTTGCTGCATTTCTTCCTGGTATCATTGCACCCCACAGCACATCAGCAATTCTCCCCACCCTTCATCGCATGCCGCAAATAGTCTAAACCTGATAGATTCTGAAAAATAACAGACACTCACTATCACTACAACGCCGTGCATGAGGGAGTGGCGTCTGCTCTCGGATACACCATTTAACGCCCCAAGCGCACCCTGCTCGATTTTGCCAGTAGAGCGGCAGCTAGCGATTCGGAAGTGTACTCATGAACTTCAAAATTGGTTCTTTTTGAGAGAACCAATTTTGAAGTTACCTTGAAGATGTATGTTGTAGACATACTCGAGAGGGAATATTTATCGCATTGTAGACATTTTATAGGAATCCATGACCATCAGTATTTCGCCGTAGCACTTGAGTAAATTTGCGGTATCAACAAGTAAGAGTATTTAGTAACATTTTAATAATGGGGAACATGTCTCTGTCAGCCACCCATGTTGGTCTTGCCTGACTAAATCTTTCCGGACTGAATTATTTTACAAAACTAGTTATCACATATTTAATTTGAACTTCTAAGCATTGGTAGAATCACCTGTTTATGTAGACTTTCACAATTTCCCTTTATCAGCGCCACAAGAGTTCGTGCGTACGTACCTTGAGCACGTTAGCCAAGCGGTGGTTTCTTAGCACGTCCCCGCAACAAGGGGCCTTTCCAAATCGGAGAAAGGTATGGCCTCCGTGCATCGCTCTGAGCTTGGACTCGCGACGCTGCCACACGGAGGCAGTGATGGGACTCACAGGAAAGCCGTCTTCAGCGTAGCGGATGGCAGGCCCCAAAATGTCCGCCATGGTCAGCTGCAAGCAGATTTGGATAAGAAATACTCTAGAAAACCACGCCTTCTCTCTGCATCACATATTCTAGAACTGTAAAGGCTAAACTCTAGACAGAGAAATGAAGGTAGCGACCGAAGCCATCTAGGATGTGGACAGATCGAGGACTCTAGACGACTGGGTCTGACTGAAGAGCTTTCCAGAACAGGAAAGCCATCGTCGATTCAATGTTGGATTACTTAGGAAGGTCTGGGACATATCACTTGGTCTAGTTTTGTTATCATCATCTATCCAACCCCTATAGTCCTTCAACTCTGCATCTATTGTCTCAGCGTAACTCGGCCAAGGCAGGCGATCTCTTGATAAGGGCAAATACATGTTTTTACTCACTCACTCACTCACTCTTTCTGAACTTTGTCAAGGTATAGATCCAATGCGGACGCAATTAGTATTTCCTATCTGGCATTGCTTCAGCAATTTTGGCGCGCTGTTCAGGTGTCCTGTGATTGATTAATTGACTGATTCATTGGGGCTTTATGATACAAGGGCAGTTAAGGATGGATGCGCCAAGAGGTTAAACTTTTGTATAAGCAAGGGCTTGGAATAGGAAAGAGCTATAGTAGCTGAAGATGTCATACAACTATGTGTATGAGATTGTATAAGTGTACACAAAATGGAGACGACTTCAGATTATTAAGTAAAATCATAGTCGGTGTATAAGGCCAATGCCATTAAGAAAATTAAACACACAAGTGTACGGAATCAGTGGCTGATCGCCAAGCAAAATGAATATAGGCAGTGAGTGGAACATGTCCTTTATATATTTGCGAAAACAATTAGAACGTTCTTGGCTATACTTGGGGCACTCAGGTTGGATGTGCGATATTGTTAGAAAAAGGTTGCAGTGCTCCAACTCTGGTGCATCCTACCAAGCAGAAGATACCCGTGAGTGAGACGCGTATGACCGATTCGTAGCCCGCCCAGGACCACCTCATAAAAGCGTTCCCGTTGCCGGGCACTCTCCCATTCACTTATAAAATGATTTAACGCATGCAGTTCATTATGTGTTTTTTTTTTCCACTCAAGTTGCCACATTCTTCGCGTGAAACACCTCAAAAGGGCGTGGTAGGTTTTGTATTGTATTTTAAGCATATCTACTTGACTTTCATTTGCAGAGTTTGCAGCACAATCGGCCTTTTCATTACCCGGGATGCCGACGAGGCTTGGGACTTAGCAGGAAATGATATCATTCTGCTTGTAAATATAACTTAATTGTGTGATTCTAGAACACGTGTATGTGCAGTGCGCTTCAGGGATGTAAGTGCTCTTAATTAGCTCAAGGAATCCGAGTAAAAAACTGAGTGGTGACGTCATTTGAAATAGACGCTAACGGTGTGCTCAAGCGCTGCGCTGTTATCGCGCGAATTTCTTTTCGATCTCTAGCGTTCTCTAGAATGAAGACGCAGCTGTTATCGACTTGCCACAGTGGAGAATAAAAGTCAGGTTGATTTAAATAGTGATTTCATTTGCGATTTATATTATGATTGAATTCAGGCTGATTTTATTATGATAACATTATTCAAACCTTTTCCTCATAGATAATCCCCCAGAATATTATTTTTATTTACCGTCTGTTTATGACATGATGATTTATATGTGTATTTATTTTTAAGATCAGACTTTTGTCGAGCAAGAAAAATTTATATCAGACTGAACACAAGCAGAGTGCAGTGTTTTTCTGAGAAAATCAGAATGTTGTGGTTTCTTTCTACCTTTTACTTCATTTGTCTGTTCCGCATCGTTCTCTTGCAAGGAAATAAAAAGACGAAGACATCGAAAAAAAAAATAATGTTTTATTGCAAGTATCTAGACCACGGGTGGCCAGGCTGACCCGGCCTAAGAGCCGCAAGCAAAAGCATGAAACTTCCGAGAGCCGCAGAGGGGGGGGTCAAACGTTTTTTAGTGCAATATATAAAACTCGAACTAATATTCCATTTAGCGTCCTGTGGGCGGCACTATTTTATTCGACAACAGCACCCTCTCCGTACATCCGGGAAATTCAGCGGGTTTGGCGGAGTAAAATAACAAAGAGGGCACGCGCCAGACTCCGCTAGCAGACGACAAACCGGGAGGTTGCCATTCTCTATCTTTGGGCTGTACCGGCGGGCTGTACGCAACATCGACCTCTCGCTCGTGGCTGCCGTTGTGAAGTGGTTCGAATTCTTAGAATAGTTATGGCTGCTCCAAAATCAACCTATACAGCCGGCAGTACTACCCTCAACTACAGCACGTTTTTATTTATTATTTCAAACTTCCACTCATGGTCGCTAAGGGCCTACACCAGTACGAACTTTGTATCGTAAAAAAGGTAGAGTAACCGGATTTACTTTTTGCCGGAGATACCGGCCAATCTGACACAGTTTTCCCTATTTTTTATTTGCACGCAGGTAACAGCGCAATTGGACCCTGTTCGTCTTTTTATCTAGCATAGTATTACACGGTAACTGGCATACCAAAATCTGCTCATCTGCCCTTGAAATTTCCAAAATGACGTGATTTTAAACCGAGTTTGCACGCCAGCCTGATGCTAGGTACAGCCTACTCGGCGGAGCAGACGACATGCGGGGTGAGAGGAAGAGGGCATTTTTTCTCCCCATTACCCTCTCTGCTATGACCCTAATGGAACGGTCTATACGACTCAAAAGCAGTCCAACTGGTCGTAAGGTAGCAGCCGCACAAGACTACCAAACCGCTACCACTCTTTCGATTTAAAACGCGTTCCATGTCTCTTTTTGGGGAAGTGCTTTTGTGAATGGGTGGGAGGCGATGGCGGGGGGGCGGGGGGGGGGGGGGGAGGAAGGGAGCCGCGAGCCGCGCTTTAACAAGCCGCGAGCCGCATGCGGCTCGCGAGCCGCAGCTTGGCCACCCCTGATCTAGACATATAGATGTCGGTAGCCAGTTTAACGTTTTTATCACAACCAATACCTTTTCGTTCGAACGAAATGGTGAGAGTGCGTAAATTATCGTGTTGGCACGAAAGAATTATCAGTGCATGTCGCTCCCTAATACGCTTTACTCAGAAGTTAAGAAGAAATTTGTTGATGCTTTCCTTCGAGTTTACCTTGTTGTTACGTGTTGCAGCTGGTAAAAATGTCTTCTCGGTGTTATATATTGTGTTTATATTTGTGATAATCACTCCCTCTTAGACTCCAACATGAGTCTACATTATTTATAAATTAAAAAAATAAATAAATAAAGGGTGCATTAACAGCGGAGAAGTATACCATCCTCATGTACAACCGATAGTGTACGTTATTTTTTTTTTTTTAAATGGTAAGCCTTCACGTAGAATGTAGTTTCCCATTGGCCTCAGGCGCGGCTGTAGAACAATGTTGATACGCTCAATTTCGAAACATTTTATTCTCTTTATTTGTGTCCCATCCAAAAGAAAAACTTTTTTGTTGTTTAACGCCCCTGCTTGAGAGTGAACGATTTGCTCCTATGCCCTCCTTACTGTGCATTTTTACGCATTTTAAAGAAAATTGTATTCACCTTTTCACTTTATTGGGGTCAAAGATTAGTTCTTCAAGATTGGGTGCTATATGTTTCTATTTAACAAAAGTAAGTATTAGTTTTTTTATTTTTTTTTATTATAGCTATTTAGGACAGATGAAACCCCAGGCAGATCAATGGATCTTTTCGAGCAACGTGGGGGTTGCCTACGAACTACAAGTTAAGGGAAGCCCAACACGCATCCGGCCATCAGAGCAGATTAGGTTGAAGCAATTGTATTAGTTTCTATTGCTTTTTATGCTCCATTCTAAAGACATTCAATAAAAAAAAAATTAAGAAATCTAGAAAATCTGCGCAAATATATGTTATCTTAGCGTCGTATACGCGAGACTGTACCCTTTGAGCATGGCGATAGCGGAAAGCGAGGTTAGAGGAAAGGGTCCACGCATGTGTAGAAGCTCATTAATAAAGTGTACTTTGTTGAAAGGAGAATTGCGGTAACGAAAACCACTGCACTAAACCTCTCTTGGTCGAAATTAGGTGAGATAGAGCACATATACATTTTGCTTTGTTTTGTTTTGTTTGTTTTTGCTTGAGCCTTCCAGGACGTCAGAAATACAGAAACGCTATGGCCCGCTCCCCGTGCCCTTTTGCTGATGTACCTTTTTACTTCCGAAGAACTCCACCGTGTCGAACCACCCTTTGACCGCACCGGGAATTGTGGCCGTGAGACCACTTTTCTCTTCGGGGAGGTTTTTCTCGTCGTATCCCCTCGACCGGAGCAGTTCCAAGGTCAGCCCCGCTGGACTCCTTCCGCTGGCAAGCAAGTTTGAACAAATGTCATTTTAAATAGACTAGATGTTCATAACAAAACAAATTCGGATACTACTATCAACAAATTTAAGGTTATATTCTGTGCTACCGTACATCAATCTCACCAGAGACATGCTCTCAAGAGAGGTCATCATTCGTTCCTGTTAGATTCGGACTAATCAGGGTCATTATATAATTGAACATCCTTCTTCTGTTTCAGAAAAGTGCATTTATATATTTTAAATTGTTACCAGTAGCATCTTTATTTAAACTAGCAGGCGAAGCTATTGCTTTGGTGTCATAAGTCATTAATTATTCAACTTCAACTGAATGGGCGAGCAGGAGTTTGCCTTCAAGTACACTAGAAAATTCTGTTTCACAGGTAGATCTTTATGATGATGAGATAAATGTACGAGCTCAGCGCGAGTCTGAAACTTCGTCGATCCTGCATTTGCTTGAGCGCATGCTCAGCGAAAGCACTGTTCTTGAAGGGCGTAAAGGAATGAACGGGAAGGTAAAAAAGATGGCGAATCGAATAAACTCCCCTTAACCATTAATTACATATTTTATCATGCCATCCTTCTTGGTACAAGTAAGAATGAAACCGATGTTTGTGACGTTTAAGTCGGGGTTACACGAGCGAGAAATCTGCAAAAATATGTCCGTGACATCAGCAGCAGGGTCTTTTCTTTTCCCCCTATACGCCAGCCTTCTCCAAAAGGAAGTTCAAGGATAAGGAATACCAGTGTTAGAAGTATAATTTAATGGTTTAAACTCTTGAGACTATAGCAAAATACTGTAATGTTTTGCTGTCTTCACACCTTGTCTTTTAATATCAAAATATATTCAAGAGCGAATTGATCCGCCACAGAACCAGCTGTTTTTGATGCTGAGCTCTACACAGCAAC